GGCCTTAGTAATTTATGTGTTTAAAATCATGCATGAGTACTAATTTCATGCTTTTTTTTTTAAGTCTGAAAGGTTTCAGATTTTAAATTACGTCCAAATGGGCATTTCTTTAACTTTATTACCTTTATTTATTAAATATCATGTTCTACGTATTCAAACCATAAAATTCACTTCAACAGGAACATCGCAAAAGAATTTTAAAATGAGCCTATCTTTAGAATTTCCGATACAGTCTCGCGTGCTGGAGATAAAAAATGATTTTTTTTTCGTACAGTGTTACCATTGCAAATCCTTTAGTTTGTTAATCAAAAATTCGTTGAAGTGTTACAAAATATGAAATCGATAATAAAGCAAATTTTCATATTCAAATTAGGCCTTCCAAATGCCCATATTCTAAGGAAGATTACGTTATTCCAATTTTGATGGCTCTAGGTACCGTTGTTTTATCACAATGAGAGAATCATGCATACATTCATGCAGACTCTTCATTATTTAATTTCTTTAAATATAATACGGGGCGATAATATTTGATAGCAACAATGTGAAAAGTGAAACAACGCTTATCGTGAATCAATGCGAAATTCCAAAACTAAACCAATAGTTCTTCTGGGCAACTTGCCCTTTTGGACTAAAAATTGTATACAGAGAAAAGCTGTTATTTGGTAAGATTTGCCTTAAAATATCAAATCAAATTCATATTGGAAGAAAACTTTTATAATGAGAAAATAATCGTTTAATTTTTTTATTCAAAATTGCCGAAGATGTAGGTGAATTTATATATTGGCGCATTTTGAAATTTGGCATATTTGTTGAAAGCGATAATAACATCATACGTGGTTTAGGCACTTTGTTAAAATTATTTGAAAATAGAAACGATGTGACCTTTTTTCCGCTCCTGCACAATGGAAGGGAGAGGAAAATAGGTTGCCATATAATAAGAAGTTCGTCAAGTAAATTATTCTTGACGCAAACTAAAACAAACGCGCCAAGATAAATTTTTGAATTTCTCCGTAAATTTCGCACCAAATTTTACAAAATTTAATATTTAGGCATAATTTGAGTCATAGAATCGAAATATGAAAAAAAGAATGGTATGTCATTTCAGAAAAAGTCCGATTTTGTGTTAAAATTCCTATGTTAGAACAATGTTATATATAAATCTAATATATATAAGTCGCGCTTTCGAGACATGAAAAACATAATTTGATTTTCGCCAATCGGCCCAATAGAACGGGAGATACAGAACTGTCCTTTTTTCTTTCGCAGTGTACGTACGAACATTTCTCCGAGCTCCAACGTATAAACGCTTCGAGTAGAAATTCTGTTCTGCTCGATGCGTTTATACGTTGGAAGTGTTCAATATGTAAAAATAATCATCTTCCCAAGAGACTAGAGGCAACTGTTTTATTCGATGGTATGTTCAGGCTCGGCAGGAACCGTAAGGGTACTACCACGTCTGTTTCGGCCTGTCTTGGGTGGCTACATCTCACTGTAAGATATGCTCCAGATTTCGAATAATAATCGTGTATGCTTGGGTTAGAGCCCCAGTCTGGTTCAAGTACTTACGAACAGAGTAAAGACTCTTTTTCCAAAATGAACTGAATGGATTTAAAATGGATTTTTTTGTGACATTTATACGTACGTATGTATCTCTATAACGCAAAAACGATTAACCGTAGAACGTTGGAACCCTTACCGGCCTTTATTTTCGCGATCGTTTGTCATGGTCATATACAGGGTGATCAGCGAATAAGCCCTGATTTCAAAATTAAATATCTCTACAATAAAGATCGATAGAATTATGCGGTAAACTGTACGTTTTTTAGCAAAACTGTAAAAATGGTGTACAAAAGTTTATAAAATTTAGTTATGAAATTCGTTAACAGATGGCGCTCTAATCTCAATGACCTATCAATAGCCTTTAAAATGTACTTCGAAGTCGAAAGTGATCAGTACAACTGTTTGCTAGTGAAAAGAGGCTAGCGTAGAAAGTGAAATAATGTATTCCATTGAACAACGTGTATTTTGGTTCTGGAATTTCACCGATTAGAACACAGTCCTACGGCAACACGTCGCAGTTTTCGAAACCGATTCAATGTTCCAGTTGGACACGATGCGAAAACCCCTTCGCATGCTGTTCGCGAAATTCGAATGGACTGGCAGCGTGACTTATCATCGAAAGGGAAATGTTGGGCCTAAGGAAACTATAGTCAGCCCTGAAAATGCAGCCAAAGTTTCTGGATTTGTTCAGCAAAATCCTAGGAAAAGCATCCGATGTATTGCATCAGAGACAGGTTTGAAGTACATGAGCTCACAAAAAATATTTAAAAATAGCCTACGGCTGTTTCCATACAAAATCCAAAGTCATCAGACCATACCCATGAAAGCTGTGCAACAAAGGGTTGACTTTACGAATCAGAGTCTAACAATGATCGACAACGGCAGATTTGATGTGAGCTGCATCTGGTTCACAGATGAGGCACATTTTCATTTGAATGGAATCGTTAATAAACAAAACTGGAGGGGTACCGAAAATCCTCATTTGTGTGAAAACAAAGTACTGCATTCGCCTAAAGTTATGGCATGGGCTGCGGTATGCGCCAGAGGCATTATCGGACCCTTTTTCGTACGAGAAACGATAACTACTGAACGTTACGTTACAATTTTGGAACAATTTGTCAGCACTCAACTAGCGTTGGAGGATTGACCAGATATTGACTGGTTCCTGCAAGATGGGGCTCGACCACATCGAACAAATAAAGTTTTTCACTTTCTTCATGAATACTTTGGGAATAGAGTAATTGCGTTAGATTATCCTCAATTTACTGACACAGGAATAGCTTGGCCTCCATACTCTCCCGATCTGACTCCTTGTGACTTCTTTCTGTGGGGCGCATTGAGAGACGCTGTCTATCGAAATAATCTTGCTACTCTAGATGAGCTTGAATCGTTGATTGGTGGTTGCATGTGATTCCATTTCCCTCCAGACATTGCAAGACGTGATGTCAAATTTCATTGTTCCTTTACGCCACCTAACTGTTTCGAACGGTGAACATTTTGAAAAAGTTGTATTTTGATTGCAAAGGCTGCTCCACTTTATTTTTTAACTAATTTTTTTTACTCTTTTCAGAGAAAGTTTTCAGTGCAGAGCGCCATCTGTTAACGATTTTCGTAACTAAATTTTCTAAATTTCTGTACACCATGTTTACAGTTTTGCTAATAAATGTACAGTTTACCGCATAATTCTACCGATTTTTGTTGTAGAGATATTTAATTTTGAAATCAGGGCTTATTCGCTGATCACCCTGTACATCCAGTCAGGCAACTTCAATTTAACAAAAAATTAAGGAATAATGAAATCCAATTTTTAATGCGGTCTACCTGTGCCTCTACTTATATTCGGGAAAGTTTTATACTCATTATAAAAAAAATAAAATTAGAAGAAGTATGACTCCCATGTAACAAAAATTAATCGGAATATTTAATTTCAAGATTTGTAATTTTTTATGTCATTTTCAACTTGCTTTGAAACATCCGTTGATTATTAATACCAGCCTAATATAAGGTAATACTAAAGGGTAATACTTGAATAAAGGTCGATTTTTTTCTAGTTTTCAAATTTTTTTGCAGGTATAGAAATACATCTACTTTAAGATGATGGTAAAAATTTTATAGGTTATAATTCAAATTTTTTTTTTTGGAAAAATTTATAAAAACTATTTAAAAATACAAATTTAAAAATTAAATCATAAAAATGGGCGAATTTTATTTGGAACGAACCTAAATTTCGTATTGTGAAAGGAAGAATCAAATAAGTTTAATCAAAAAAGAGAGATTAATGAATATATATCAAACTCAATTAACACTGAGGAGTTAAAATTTTGAAAGCTTAAGTTTTTAATAACTACTCGTGCAACTTTTACAAAACTTGGTAGTTCGGCGTAATTTGAGTTTTAGAACTTTTTTTTTTGTGTGTGTGTGTGTGGAGTGTACATGAAGCCAGACGGGCATGAAGCTCATGCACGATTATTATTCCAACGCTGAAGTGCATGTAATAGTGCGATGAAGCGATCTGAACCCGAGACAGAGCTAACAGTACTCGTACGGTCCCTGCTGAACCTGAAGGTACCACAGAATAGACGCTTAGCTAGAACAACCGTGGGTTCCTCCTATTGAAACTCCGGGGGGCTTAATGGCAAACCGCACATTGAGTTAATCAATGTTAATGAATTTGATGATCAATGGTGTACCGCTGACGTGGGAGAAAATACTGGCGACTAAGCATAAGCAACCCTACACAAACCTGTTCGTCATGTAGGTCTTATCGACTGTTTACAATTGCAACAGTCTATTTCATTTTACTTACAGTAATTTGTTTGACCTTTAATTCAGTAATTTAAACTAGATTTAATGCTTAATTTGTTAAAGCATATATGAATGGAACGCATGGTAAATACTCAATTGTTTTTATTCCTCAGAAGTATAATCAATAAAGATTTAGCTAATACGTTTAAGAGTCTTTCGTTACGCAAATTTTCGTTTAAGAATGATTACAAAACAGCGATGTTCTCTGTTTTGTCCTTTTTAAAAGAAAATTTGGGTAGTTTACAATCGACATTTACACTCCAAGTAATGAAGCAACTTACAACCTGACACTTTTTAAAACCTCGAGCTGTTTACGCCCAAGATAACACAATATGAACCATATACCGTATTTATGTTCTTTTAAAATTGCGCCAAAGTCGTAACTGCGCCAAATTCTCTTTTGGGCATGCGCAGTAAGCGAAATTCGTTTAACATTGGTCAACTCAATGTGCGGTTTGCCATTACGCCTCCGGGAGTGTGTTCAACGTGCAGACGTCAGGCACAAAAATCGTCCAGATGGATTCGAAAGCTGTCAAAATGGATATTACCACTAAAATATGGTACCCAAAATGTTTGGAGATGCCAATACTTAGTACAAAAAAGTAAAAATAAGGTAAGAAATTTAAGAGACTTACATCGAAGGCTTCGTTCGTTGGGGCGAAGAGAGTGATCGCTTGCCCCGGTCTTCTCAGACGATCAGCCAGTCCTGCTTCGTGTAGGTAATCCACGAAAACTGTCGCTCCCAGATCTCGAGCTGTTCTGACAACATCTGACATGGGTTTCACTTTGGGAAAAGAAACAGTTCAAAACTTCATTAAATGATAAAAAAAATTACCGTATTGAAATAAATGTAACGACAGACTACAGTGATGGGTCTAACATAAGAGTATGCATATAATACAATGTAAAAAAAAATGTAAATAATTCACTCAATTTATATAAAGGTAAACATAGCGTCAAGCTTGAACCACAAACAACGTCTTGTAAATTCCAATTTTTAACTTGCAACAGCTTCTTTTTAAGGAGAGATAATTTGTTTGATGTTCTGATGAGTTATAACCAACACGCGATTAACTGGACTGCGGATTAATCGAGTCCTGTCTTAAAAAGAACGTTAAAAGTTTATTTTTTGGAAAACAAGGGAAAAAGTTTTGTTACAAACTATCAGCATAAAATAAAACTGTCTACAGGTAAGGCAGAAAGGAAAAGGAAACGAGAGAGATAACAGCAGATGATATCAGAGTACTTTTTATTAATTTTTTTATTATGTGCTCCACCATTAGGCACTATTGTTGCCCGTGGAGAACTTTTGAGGACAGGGAACCTGACACGTATCCACGTTACACATGAGGAAAACCACGAAAAGGCCCATGCAGTCAGCCCGGTTGACAGGACACAGACCCCAACCGAACTAAATGTTCAACGGCTTTTGCTTTTCGGGTTGTAGTGAGCTATGTCAAAGTATTTTGATTTTATTATTTATTCTTTGCGAGCGTATCGCAGCTTTTTTATCTTTAAATTCGTAATTTAACTACATGCACTCTGAAATATGTAAACACTAGCAGCCTTCGTCTGGCTTTTAAATGTACAGGAAAAATGCCTGAAGAGAACACAAAACGTTAAATTTAAAAACCGCGCAGAATTTTACTCTGAAGAACAACTTCATCAAATGAATAAATAAAAATAAAAATAGAAAAATTTTTAAAAAATCTGAAAGATTTCACATTTTAAATTACGTCTAAAGGGCCGTTTTTTAACTTAACTAAAGGGCCGTTTATTTATTAAATATAAAAATGTATTATATATATAAAAAAATGACAATAAAATATGCCAATCTCTTAAAAACAGTGACATAAGAAATACGATGAAAAATTGTTGCCAAAACCATATTTCTAAAAGAATGAAACTATTCAAAATGATGCGATTTCATCAAAAATATATCAACAAACAATAAGAAAGGAAAATTCTTGCCAAAATCACATTTTTAAAGGTGTGACATGTGAGAAGTGTACTCGGAAGTTTCATTTAAAAATTTTTTTATAAATACAAAATATTATCATTTTTCCAAAATTCTTTTTGTAAAAGCAGTCGCAAGGATGAAAGTTTAACGTGTCCAAAAATCAAAGAAAAATAAACTGTCCATTTTTAAAAATAAACTTTTTTAGAAAAAACCCCGTTGAAAGGTGTTAAGCTCACTTTGTTAAATAAATTCGTATTTAATCGATTTACTGAAGCACGAAATTTATTTTAAGTTCGTAAAATAGCTAAGTGCCTATGTTTCATGACGATGTGAAAATGGTGTAGAGTAAAATCTCGCTTTCCTATAGCCCATTATGTCTCAAAATGACGCGATTTCGTCCCAAAACATAAAATTAAAAAAAAAAAATTCGAATTCGAATTTCGAAAAAATCGCTTCGATGTGCACTGGCTCTTTGTCTAGATGCACCTATGTACCAAATTTCGTAGCCGTGGGTCTATTAGCTTACGCGCAATGCGAACGAAAGACGCACACACAGACAGACTCTTTCTCTTATCATATGTAGAGAAGAGATAATAGAATAAAAAATGAAAAGTTCTAACCAAATTTTTACGTGAGTTTGTGCTCATTGAAATATTTCAAGCTCTCTTATTAATACTGTTCCTTATTGCATTTCTAACTTTATTTGTTTCGAACAACTTTTCTTCTTTTGTCATTTATGATGTGCTCTTTTTGTTCTGAAGACTGATTTAATTTACGTAGCCAAATAACCTTATTCTTCACATTAAATAGCATCAAAATACAGGCAAATTTTAATATCATTTTCCTGTTTCTTATAACATGGATTATTCATTTCTCCTGAGCATTTTTAAATTTTCAGAATAACCGTGATTTTAAGTTAACAGTGAACGTTGTCCTCAGTGTTACTCAACAGCATCGAGATAATGACTGCACAGTATTTTTTAAGCCGCTTTTCATGACATGAAGCAAGAAATTTTTTAGCAAAGTTAGTTAACCATGTGTGTTTGAAGGATGCATCTGCTGCAGAATAGTAATTTTTGCTGCATACAATGTATCTAGAGTAATTAAAATTCTCAGCTATGGAAATCATGCCATCATTACGTTATGCTGGGTTTCATTTCATCGTATCTTTACAGTTCTCAGAAATTTACCTCTAGTTTTATTGTTTGTCAATAGATGGCAGCACTATGAATCTGACATTGGTCTGAAAGGTTGCATCGCAAGCATACGTCTAGCTGTAGTCGCAAACTAGGCGACTCCCGAAACAATTTTTATGCGACCCACGAGCACATTTTAGATATGTATTTGCTGCAAATGCGATGTCAAAAGTTTTCGGATGGATAAGGCTATGGAAACAATGATAAAACTGTAACCATTATCAGCGGACAAGCTCTGAATCATCGAGTTTGTTGCATCTCTTGAAGAAATTGAAAATGAGTGTAGAGAAATTATTAAAGTGTAACAAGGTGAGGTAGTTATGTACAGGAGCAAAATTAAAACGCTTTAATAAATGAAATAGAGATTTTCGTGATACAAAATAATTAAACAAAACCATTGGTGAGCTATATAATATTATATTGATAGCAGATTTAGCCTATCTTGTTGACTTGACCAAACATTTAAATATTCCCAATAAAGAGCTGTAAAGAAAGAATAAACTTATCATTCATATATATGCTTGTATTAAGGGGACTCATACACCTTAAAACCCATAAGATGTTCGAATAGGTGACTGTTGCAAGAATTCGGATAACTTATTTATTTTAAAAGCAATTACTACCAACTTTTTACAGCTGACTACATAATATAGCTGCTTTCTGAAATAGTAATCATAAAGTTTGTGTTGCCACAAATATTTTTATAATTTAATCCGCTTTGTGACAACATTTTTCGTCATGTTTCCAACTTGCGCGCACAGTTTAAAACATTCTGTTGCATAATTTAATTCCATATTTAATATATAGCTTTTATAACATTTGGAAACTACTGTGAACCTAAAATTCTAAAAACTTCATGTTAAATTTTTATTTTATTTGGAGTTGAGTTTATAAAATGTATTTTATTTAAAAAATTTTTAATGTTTTCGCCCATAAAATTTTTCAATATTAAAATATTCATCAGATTGTTGGTTCAGTTAGAAAATAGGGCCCATATAAAGAATTCCATCAAATTTTAAGTGTGTACCATTAGCCATTTTTAAAATATCATGCGCGCAAGGTGGAAACACGGCGAAATATTTTGTCACAAAGAGAATTAAATTACAAAAATATTTGTGGCAACACAAACGTTCTGGTTACTAGTTTCCAAAGCAGCTATATTCTGTAGTCAGCTGTAAAAAGTTGGAAGTAATTGCTTTTAAAATAAATAAAATAACCCAATTCTTGCAACAATCACCTATTCGAAGATCATGAGGGGTTTAAGGTGTATGAGTCCCCTTAAAACTTTTAAAATTGCAATTATAGGAACACAATTTGAATCAAAATATTTCGTATATTCCCTACCTTCTTAAATCCTGCCATATTATTGCAAATCAAAAATTTCAAAAATATGCAAGAAAAATAGTATTATTACTACAAGAATTTGAAGAAACATTGATTGATTTTGAGGATTTATAGTTCACTTTTACATTATTTTCGTTATCATTAAAACGAAAGTGAATAACGCACCAGAAATTCTACAAATGGAGTCATTAATTTAAAGAATCCGATTGACAATTGAGAATCTATAGTCCTTGATGAAAATAGTTTCTAGTAATTTTTTTTCTGAGGTTACAAACCATAACAGAATTGAAATGCTATCAAGTGTCAAGTTGTAGTAAGAAAGAAAAAGGTTATAATTATTTACATATAAATAAATGTATTTTTTCTGCGTGGTTATAAAAGTGTAATAAATAAAAGAAAGAAGGGTGCCATTATTTATTCTCAAATTTTGTATAATGAGAAAATTTTCTTTAAAAATTTTAAATGTTTTCACCAAAAGAATTTCTTGCAGATACCAACATTTTGATTTCAGATAATTAATTACAAAATTATTTCCTTTGCGTATTATTATTTATTATGCTTTAATAATTATGTGTAAGATATTAGACACCTAAGGGAAACAGAAAAGGAATTTAACCCCCCCCCTCCACAAAAAATAAATGAAAAGAATTTTATATTTTCAAGGTCAGAAAATTATGATAAATAAAAAGTGAGTATAAACAAAAACATTGTAGAAAATACATCTCAATATTATTTAAATAAATTTTCAATAAAACCATGTTTCAGGTAAATTAAATTTTAAAAATTTAATTTATTTTAGAAGCATATTATAGACTCGCACACAACATACCACACTTACATGTCACGTGAAACATCAGGTTATAAAGGAGTAACATCTATACATAAGGTGCATATACGGAGCACTATATTTTTGTGTGTTATAAATAGGTTTTCCAACTATATCTTATTTCATTGGATTATCTGTTTAAAGTTAAACAATTTGATTTAAGAAATTATTCACTGAAGTAGTTTGTTTTTCCACTTGTCTTTTTTCACTTTCATTTTCAAAACTTTTCAAAGAATATAATTCTTTTTTAAGATTATGAAGCAGGCACATGAAGAACAAAAAACACAAACTGGAAACACAAACTTTATTTAATCATAGCATTTGTTCAAAGTGTTTTCATATGAGTAAGACTAATGTTCAAAGCATATTACAGCGTGTAGCGGTAAAGTTTTCTCGATCATTTGCAGAAATATGATGCGATGACGTAAATGCATATATTCTAATTATTCGAGAGATCGAAGCTTATTCTTCGCTGCATCAAAATTAACAAGTGTTAACTAACATACCAAGAGAAGGAAAGATATATTTTAAGATTAGCTCAATGGAAAATTGGGCGAAAATAAATTAACTTTTTTTCAAAAAAATATTTTCAATAACATTTTGAAGAAGTCTATTAATACAAAAAACTTAAGCACACATTGATTATTATTACAAGACACATACATGATTTAATGAAAAAATATGTGCGTATTAATAACAACTCAAAATACTCAAAATAACATGGAAAATATTGTTGCGTGCGTACGGGTTCGTTACGAATTGAATGCACAAGTCCGATGAAAAATGAACAAAAATTTAATATTATCACAACAAAAATGCTTAAATCTTCTCAAATTATCTGCAGTATTACAATATCTCACAGTAGTTATCTTTTAACTACTCAAATGTCCAATAGAACGTAAATCAAAACAGCTAAAGAACGCTAATCCGCGAATTCGCTATAATCAACAAGAGCAGTTTTCTAAACAACAACAAACTAAGCAACTACTACGAACTGAGAGGTTTTTCTCCTTTTATAAGATTTTAAAATCACACGCTAGAATTTTCTGGTACTTTCTCGAAATCAAAAAGACATATTTATTTATTAAATGCACGCGCTCTTGTATTTTCAATTTTCCGGCTTAGCTTTCTTTTAATATTCGACACGCGTTGCACTGCGCGAGAAATAAAACCATTTAATTTATAATTGAACTAACATAAGCTTTTTGAATACCAAATTCGTAACAATATATTAAATTTAAGTTTATTACGTTCAGAAAACTAAAAACTCTTACCTCCCGTGCAACCATCTTGTCTGGGTATTTGGTGATAACCTTCACAGCATTCGTATCTCAGAACTCTGGAAAAGAAAAATAGGAATTTTTAGATTCATAGTTTTTTTTGGGGGCGAGGGGAGTTAGAATCAATGAGCAAACAAAAAATCATCAATGCTCTATCTAGGATTTAAATTAGGGACCTTCCAGTTCCAGCTGGACGTGCTATCGGTTACAACACAAGAAGCACGAGGAAATGCAATAATTCCTTATATCCTCCATCAGTTGAAGAATTGACTGAGGAGAAGACAAGATTCAGATGACCACGGCTAGGTGGAGAAGAATTATTACCTACCTCATTTTAGTTCGGAAGCCATTGTAAAGACATTAAATTTTATTTTTTGTCAGGAACGTAAAAAATCAGCAATGCTCTTGCCCGAGTTCGAACCAAAAATCTTTCAGTTACTGGTTGGACGTACTATTAATTACACCGTGACAACACACACACGTGGCAATATGCGATAATTCCTTATAAATTATCAATTACCTGAAAACATACATATTAATTTTAGAAACGTCTGTAACTGAAGTCTTTCAATTTTTAGTGTCCCAGTCCCATTGCGTTTTGTTATGTTACTAGAGCATATATCATTTCCGTGATAGCGAATTACTAAAGCTCAGAGATGTTGCCATTCGATATGGCTTACTTTAGTTTACTTTTCAAATCATAGCTATACGTTGCTTAACTAACTATAAGTGATTTAAAAGCAATATATGTACTTTTTGCTGTTGTGGATGGTATATGTCCTTATTATAGTTTTGTATTATGAGTATTAGTGTTATAGTTAGCTCTGTACTTTAGTTATCAAGATTTATTGCTGTAATATTTCAACATTTATAAAAAGTGGTTCAATATTAATCATCTTTCCCAAGTTTTACACTTTTCAACTTACTATCTATGCACCTCCTTCTCTTAGGGCTTACCTTAAATATCTTTTCTTCAATAAATTTATAATACTCCTTTTCTTATTATTTTCTTATTATTAATTATAATACTTTTTTCTCATAGCTATGAGATTATTCCTTAACTATAAGATAATTAGTTAGAAGATTATTTAATATAAGATGGTTAATATTTTTAGTCCAAAGGGATTTGAATCCCGAAGGACTATTAGTTTCGTTTTGGCATTTTGCGTCTGACTCATAAATGTCGGTTCACTTTTCAAACTGTTGCCACAAAATGTTAGAGTCCTGCATTATATTTGAAGAAATTAAATAATGAAAAATCTGCATAAATGTGTGTATATTTCTCGTATTGTGATAAAACAATGGTACATAGAGTCATCGAATTTTGAATGACGTAATCCTCCAACGAATATGAGCATGTGGAAGACCAAATTTGAAATTTGAAATTTGTTTTTATGATCGATTTCCTATTTTTTGAAACTTTGACGAATTTTTGATTAACAAACAAACTCAAGGATTTCAAAGCGAGCAATGGCAACGTTGTGCAGAAAAAACATTTTTATCTCCAGCGCGTGAGTCTCTGTATCGGAAATTCTAAAGATATGCTCGTTTTAAAACTATTTTGCGATATTGCTGTTGCACTGGATCTTATGGTTTAAGTGCGAGGAACATGATATTTAATAAAGAAAGGTAACACACAAAATGTTAAAAAACGCCCCTTTGGACGTAATTTAAAATCTGAAACATTTCAGATTTTTTTTTTTTATTATTATTATTTCATTTATTATTTACTTTTAGCATATCTTTAATATTTATATCTAGTCTACATTTTACATTTTTCTAAATTTCTTTAATGTTTATTCTATATTTAGTGTTTTTCTCATTCTTTTTTAATTTGGCTTAATTATTTCTAAATTATATATATCTAAATTCTTTAAATGTATAATGACATTTTGTATTATATAATTTGGTTATTCTTCAAAATTAATATATAAAAATCAGTAAACATAAATTTTCAACTTAAGTAACAATTCTCTAAATATTTATGTTATGAGCTTTATTGTAAACATTGCCATCTATGTAAACATCTATGTAACAATTCTATAAATATTTATGTTATGAGCTTTATTGTAAACATTGCCATCTATGTAAACATCTATGTAACAGTTCTCTAAATATTTATGTTATGAGCTTTATTGTAAACATTGCCATCTATGTAAACACCGCAAGACCTGTATAATATGTCTCTGTATGTCATATGTATATTTGCACAACCATTGTAACTTTGTAAAATTTTATTTCAAATAAATACCGCTGATAGCGGATGGTAGATAGTTTTCATCAATATAGCACAAAAGCTGAGAGTCGTAATGGTGGTGCAGTTGCTCTGTTGATGGTCTCCTGTTGTGGATGGTGCCGTTGTCCTCAGAGTAGGAGATTTTCAGCAAACACTGCCTGTGATTCTTCACTGTACGTTAATGGATGAACTTATTACCCACCTTCAGCCATTGTTCTTACATAGACAGGTGCGAAAATGGATCTCAAAATGAATAAGAGGGCATAGTTACAAGGAGAAATAAACGCAGTGTACATAGTAGTTGCTGTCATTGGGCATAACAAGAATTTCCTGTCAACTTCATTATCGGTTTTTTTGTTTCCTTCAAATTTCTTCAATAAGTCACTCGAAGAACTAATAGCTAAAGTGTTTTCCGATATACGGGATAATTGCAACTCACATCGATGGTTCTGAGAAAGATATATGAAAAGAACCACATACTCACCAGGTTTATACATTCTCTACAAATATTCAGTATGTGCCCCTTTGGTGACACGACTCACGTCCAGACGAGCCATACATATTGTAGCATTGTTGTCCAGATGTTTGTTCTGTCAATTGACCAGATGTTCGGAATATCGCAAAAACTGCATCTGAAGTCAATAAACGACAGCTTTAACTATATTACTGGACTTATTCTGAAATTGTTTCTCAGCAACTCTCGCACCTTTTCGTCCACTGATTCAGTAATGGATACAGAGCAAGCTGTGCATTACACGACATAATTTTGAAGTGCTTTTGAGCCCTCAGGAATGCCCCGCATGAGCCCACTTCATAAAAGAATCCCATGTCCACGTAAACATCGACCCGCCAAAACTGTACAAATGTTCACATTGCCCGTATTCTGTTGATACCCAGCGATTCAAACATACCCTTTGATTTCAAGCGATTGAAGTTTCCCTTCAGCTTGCATTCGCTATAAATATGAACAAGGCAGAAGAGCAGTCATTTAGTATGGTAGGTATTAACTTTGACATGCAATGCTTTTCACGAGGTCAAATATACTGGTACGTTTTTCTCTTCTGACACCAGTTGTTGCGTTATTTTCTTCCTTCACGTTCGTACGGGGTTTGTATGGATTTGGAGTGAATAAGGACGACACTGGATGAAGTATCGAAACACACTTTATTTACCAATGTTAATCAGGACAGCTCCAAAACACTTTTTACAGTCGTCGAAGATCTACTATAAACACGTTGGAACAATGTCAGGCAATAACGGTAGAGACAGCTTCACGGCAAAGCACCAGAGTACAGCTCCCGACCGTGCTTGGCCGTTCTCGGAACTTTATGTACTCTCGAGACTCTCCGCGCTACAACTCGCGATGCACTCGACGACACACAGAGCACGGCTCCCAACTCTTCGGGTCAGTCGTTCCAGGAGCTCAACACGCTCTCTCGACGATACACTAAGAGACTCCTTCGGTAAACTCGACGACCCGCTCGGTACTCACTGCCCGGCTGTCAACTCGATCGACTCCGCAGGGATTGACTTGCTAGACGAGACACCAACTCGATATTAACTATCTTGCACTCGACGAAGCACACTCTCACTCGCCCTCTCGACGAGGCACTCTCTATCAGCTCGCTAGGCGAGGCACACACACTGGATACTAACTGACTGACTGCGGACCAGCAGGGTTTATATAGAGCTTTCGGCTTGTTTACCCAGCATGTTTGGGCTAAACCGGTAAGAATTCGTTCCAAAAAGTTCTCCATCAGTCCATGGCATATCGCCAATTTTGTCGCCAAATAGACGATTTCTCGCCAAATGTGGCAACCCTGCATCATCTTGCCGTTTTATGGCAACCCTAAAACTGCTTTGCGGGGAAGCCATCTCACCGCACCTTGACATTTCGTAACAATACGAAGCCTACTTAACAGTTGGCATGTCGAATAATTAGAATAAATACTCCTGTATTGTAATACTACATTAGGAAGAGAAAGCTGGGAAGAGTAAGCTACTATATTATTAGTGTTACTGAAGTTAATACGTATTTACTTCTAAAATATACATATGGTTTTCCCCATGTGTAACGTGTATACGAGCCAGTTTCCCTTAGAAAGTCCTCCCCGAAGGTGTCCCTCCTCTTAGGCAGATAGCCCTCGAGGCTTTGCCATAATCACACACACACACACACACACACACACACACACACACACACTAAAATATACATGACCATTCTGCAGCGAGATACATAATATTCAAAAATTATTAACTGGATATATTTAAGTTAGGTTAGTTATATATGCTATTAGAAATAAAATGAGGTTTAAAATATTAAGAAACGAGTTTGTTTTTAAATCCTCATTTGTTATGAAATACAATGAACATTTTAAAAATAAAGATCTTTCAAATTGTGACACTTTGGCTCTTTGACAGCTTGCATGGAAGGCAGACGCTTTTGAGAATTAAATTCCAAATTTTATTAATAAAAGAAAAAAAAAACTGTAGAATAAACATAAAATCCGTACAGTTTCCTGACAAATAGAGAGAAAGAAAAGAAAAAAACTGCATAAATTTTCTGCACTTAAATATTGCAGATCTGCACTTAAATATTGCAGATTCCTTTTCATGAGGGAAGAGAACCCGAAAAACTCAAACTAGAATTTAATTTTTTTAGTTAAAATGACTAACTTTCCATTTCAGCTCGTTAAATCATACTTATTAAAATTGATTAATTAAATTTAATCAAACTGCATTTATTAAAAATTATATATATTAGATTATTATTAATGAAATTATATTAAATAAATTATATTTAATAAAAGCTATTATATATGCCGCATAGTCTTGTCGTTTATTAAAACTTTTGAAAGAAGTTGAGAAAGGTAATCTGTCAAATATAGGGATACGTTTTAATACTAATTAGATAACAGCACCTGTCAAAATTAAATTAATTACTTATGTATGGAGGATTAGCCCATGGCCTGCAAAGGCGATACATCAATGATTAATGTTATTACTATGGGAGATTTTTGCGCTTGTTTTGCGCAGAGAAATGCCAAAAAATTTTTATCTGAGGCAGAAACATAAATACGAGCGTCTGTACGTAATAATTAAATCAAACTGAAGACTTCAGATACCAGGTTAAATTAATTTAATTAATTTACTTCGAAAATTAATTTACCTCGAAAATTAATTAAAAAATTCAACTTTACTGATGTGACGTGACGTCATAATCTCATTTTTCATGACGTTACTTCCTGACATGTAACTCTTGTATACTACTGCTATGAAGTGTCCAGCTGCGGTAAGATAGCTTTCTCGCAAAGCAAAGGGTTACCAAAAAGCGGCAAGGAAAGACGGAGTTGTCAGATGCAGTGCAAAATCCCCCATTTGGCGATAAAATCGGTGATATGCCAAAAGCGAAGCGAGAACATTCTAGAACGAATTCTTACCGGTTTCCCCGAGAATATTCTCGATGGCGGGTCAAAAGCTATGTACACTCGGTCTGTACGCAGAGTAGTAGTGTTGTGCTCAGTGGTAGTGTCTTGAGTTCAGAGATTTGTATTTTAGTGCTTTGCCCTGAAGCTGCCTTCACTGTTGTTCACTTGTGTTGCTGATTGTTTCAGTGTGTCTGTCGTAGTTTTTGGACGACTTTGACGCTTCCTTGGAACTATTCTGTATAATACCGACGAATAAATTATGTTTTGATTCTTCATTAAGTTTTGTCATGAGTCACCCCAAATCCACGAACCCATATGCAACACTACATAACCATCTTTTAACTCAGAAGTACTATTTGTTTCTTACTTCATATTTATATCTTTGTAATTTCAGTGAGTGATGTGCGAGTAATCGCTAAAAGGCGCCAAATAGCATGGCTGCAATTTTCTATGAAATTTAGAAAATCGATAAACGGCGCCAAAATAGCATGACTGCAATTTTCTATGAAATTTGGAAAATATTACTTAATTAGGTAATTAAAGCTCATAGAAACCACATTTTTATAAAATTCAGTTTCACTCTATATTAAAAAAGTATACTATATATAAAACTTACGTTTTTGCTCCACAAATTTCTCGATTCATCCAGTATTTGCATTCCGTCCAGTATTTCTTATTAGTACCCGGGACTTCTTCAACGGCGCATGTATTCGGCCTGTAATAAGAAACGACTTTTAGAACGTGCAAAAAGTTAAGAATTTTCTAGTAATAAAAAGTAAAAATCCTATATATAAATCCTATAAGGTAAAAATTCACAACACGTATACATACATATACATCGTGTTACTAAAATCCTTACCCGGCCTTCTTGCGTTTTGACACATTTCACTTAGCCCACGAATTAGAACAAGCCCACAAATTTTTCTCGTGCCAAAGAGTACCAGATTGCGTCTTAGCCCACGAATAGCCCACGAATTTCTTAGCCCACGAATTTCACTTAGCCCACGAATTAGAACAAGCCCACAAATTTTATCGTGCCAAAGAGTACCAGATTGCGTCTTAGCCCACGAATTAGAACAAGCCCACAAATTTTATCGTGCCAAAGAGTACCAGATTGCGTCTGTCACTGGCAAGAGTCTTGAGCACCTGACAGTTCGACTTTGCTCAATCCCCCCCCCCCACAAATTTAGAAAGACAGCACACCAGGAGACGATTCTGACGGTTTTCCAGCCTCTTAAACTACCATCAACCTCTAGAAAAGAATTTCGGCTCGCCGTATGTTTTTAATGCCTCTATGCCATGCCGTACAGACCGCAAAATATCAAAGCAAATCTAGTAGCCCTTCAGGGCAAATTACGGCTTTGGGTTAATAAATGAATTTGAGGAATATTAGAGCCCTGCATTATATTTAAAGAAATTAAATAATGAAGAATCGGCATAAATGTATGTATGTTTCCGCATTGTAATAAAACAACGGTACCTAGGACCATCAAATTTTGAATAATATGTCTCCACTCGAATATGGGCATCTGGAAGACCAAATTTGGAATTTGTTTTATTATCTGTTTCTAATTTTATCAACCATTAAAGAATTTTTGATTAAGATACTCAACGATTTTAAAGCGAGCTATGGCAACACTGTACGGAAAAAAAAAAAATATCTCCAACGCGCGAGACTGTGTATCGGAAATTCTAAAGATATGCTCTTTTAAATATTCTGTGTGTTGTTGAATTGACTTTTACGGTTAAATTGCGTAGAACATGATATTTAATAAGTAAAGGTAATACATAAAACGTTAAGAAACGCCCCTTTCAGCGTAGTATAACATCTGTAAGGTGGTTCAGGTGGGTGTTTTTTTCTGAATTTCATTTTTTATTTACTTTTTTTTATAAAAATTTAGGTTAGAGCCTGGTTTCTGCAGTGTAGCGTATTTTGCAGTTTTTATCGAAATAACCTGTCAGCTTCTTAGTAAAACATAAGTTTTATTCTCAATTCCACGAAGATAGATCATTTAAATACAATTCTATTCATTACAACTTCATTACAGCTTACTATTACAGTTTCTTTCTCTATATATTTTTCATACATCTATCAGGTTCAATGTTTCTTCTAACCTTCTTCGGAAACATACAATGACCTGACTAGGAACAGAGAGCTTACTAAAGCTATGTTCACTAATTGTAGTAAGTAGACAGGATACAGACGAAGGGTATACAAGACCCTTTATTTTTCTTTATATACAATGACTTCCGTACTTCGGAATACAATGACCCTCCACTCGGGGTCTAACGTAAAAGGTATAAAAATAAAACTAAACTCTAATTTAACTTTAGAATAAGATTGGCCTTATAATAACAGGAAGCGTATGTAGCACAGAGACTGTGAACACTACAATACGTTTAATTTATCAAGAGGATTAAAACCTCTGGCCTGGAAGGCAAATAGCAACTGCGTAACTTCTAAGGTAAGCGGCCTGCTTCGAACTCACTGCTTCCTCTCTCTCTCTTGGCAAAAAGGCCACACTTAAATACTTGGCGTTCGCCAGACAACTTTGCATAAACTCCTTCACGCTTATAATTCTGGCCAGAAGTAGAAAATAAGAAGTAATAGTAAAGATTTAAAATAAAATAAACGTTAGTAAAACTTAAGATCCTTACACATCTACTAATGGTAAAACGTTTAGAATAACAATTAAAAAAATTTTTTTGATGTTGCTTAGCAACGATTACAGGATAGAAATATGGCGTTGCCACTCCAATATCGAGGATAATAAATATAATTTGTTAAACAATGAAATATTTTCTCTATTTTCTCTGTTTTTTATTTTTCTTATTTATGATATTATTTATATATATTTAAAGGTATCTCGTTAAAACGTTTTCGTTGGTCATCGTATTAATAATCCACTTTCTTCTTAAGATAAATTTCATAGCAAAGTTATCTCTCACATTTAGATATGGAATTATCCTTCCCGTATTTTATATCCAGACACATAAAAATCAGAAAAAAGGAAAACCCTTTCGTTATTTCTCTCTGAAGGTGACTTAGTCATTCATGAATTTTCTGCCGAGTCTAGAAATCCGATGTGAGAATCCTCAACTATTTATGAATATTATCAAAACCAGTTCCTGCCGACCGCTCTTCAGCATTGTCTACGACCAAACAAATAAAAAAAATTGACCGCATCCTTATGTTGATTGATACTGATACGAGTTTTTGCACCTGTTGTCAGTTTTTTTTTCAACTATCTACCATTCTTAACGCGTCACTTGACAACAAGATGGATATTCAGTTGAAGGACCTCAAGACGAGAGGGCTAAAAATAAAAAATGGCTCACAAGAGACTATTTTATACTTCTTTTCACCTCGCATATCATGGCAACTTCGTCTTCCTGCACTCATAAATTGTTCCTTAAGGAAGTTTATAGCATCCTTATTTTGTAGGGTACTTAGTAGCTTCTCACATATCGTTGTGATATTTTAAGTAGGGCCACCCTTCTTTCCATGAGTAAGATCAAACACCTTTTGGAGGTGCGCTAAAGGTCTCAGTGCTCTGGTGCTATTTAGAGAATAATATAAACATGGAACTGCGAGTTTAAGAATCGAGATGAAAAGGGGAAAAAGTAAGTTTCAAAGATATCCAGTATGGTTCTGCACAGAGAAATCAATACCATTTGATATTTCAATGCATTTTTCAGGGAGGGGCATTTATGAGAATAGAGAATTCCTATACACAAACAAAAGTTGTTTTGTTGCTGTTGCCAATGCTCACTTATCTCACCTCTAGTCAGCCCAATCCCACGACATTCCTGCAAGTTTGCACCTATCGTTGGCAACAGCCTTGAGCACCTTACAGGTGACAATGCGATTTAACTCAGTTCCGCCCTTAATTTTGATGGAAGCACCCCGGGGGGGATGGGTGCGAAGATTTGTCACCCCTCTTTCCCTACCACCAAACTCTCCAGAGGACTTTCGGCTCGCCGCATATTTAGAGTGCCCCCATGCTGCACAGACACTATACATCAGTAGTATCAGAAGCGGGCGCAGCCCGTCCCGCCTGACCAAACCAGTTGGTCTTATGATCATGACAGGCCACGCCCATTTCAACAAAAGATTGAATTTTTGGATTATTCATTTATGGCAAAGCACACGAGGGCTGTCTGCCTAAAGGGAGGGATGCCTTCGTGGAGGACTTTCTAAGGGAAACTGGCTCGTATACAAGTTACACATGGGGAAAACGCCCATGCAGCCAGCCCGTTCGCGGGATTCAAACCTCGGACCGAACTACCAGTGTTCAGCGTCTTTGCCGCTCAGCCGCTGGTGGGCCATTTCAACAAAGGAAAAAAAATGAAACATAAAATATCTAAATGAGAATAAGCATGTGTTAATAATAATTGTAAACATAAAAGAGAAGAAAAAGAACAAATACAAACATTTAGACAAGAGCAGACACCAAAGACAAAAACAAACAAGAAGAAAATAAAAACGCGAACAACAAACACAAACAATGGTAACAACAAATTAGTAAAATAGACCAAATAGTGATGGCGATAAAACGCAAATATCATACACTGATTCCCACTGCGCGGCGCTCACCGTCAATAAATTTCATCACAGATTTACATAATTGTGCGAAATCTTTATAGAATAAAAAGCGCTTTTTCAAAATCAATATTTTTATTGTTTCTCAAGTAGGGACAGACCTCGAGGAAATGCTTAGCATCACCAAACAGACCACATAGTTTACATTTATCGTCGTTATGTATCTTAAACCTAGCGAAGTATCCCGGGAAACGCCCATGTCCGGTCAGAAACTGGTTAACTTCAAAATCATTAAAGATAATAATCTTTTTCTTAATCCGTTCTAAGTGTTTCAAATAACGATTTTTCCTTTCAGAAGTATTCCATTGTAACTGCCATTGCTTAAAATAATACGAATAAATAACTTTGGTTGCAAATTTTTTTTTTTTTTGAACCCTGAACATAGGGCGTCCCCGAAACACTCCCTATGGAAGACACTATACATATACAAACATCAATACCTTCTCTGGGATTTGGGCCCGCGCCTTTCGGGACGGCAGCCAGCGACGCTAGCGACTGTACCGGTTTGGGAGGCCAAACATAAGTAGAGAATGTTCACTTTTCTAAGCTACCACCTTCACAAATTATCAAAATCATTTGGAACTGCGTGTGACTATTTAGAAAAGGTTCCTTATACCTTTAACTATGCAAAAATTCTACTCCCGTTTTGGGAATAATGGTTCTGTTTCCAACCACATGAATGATCTTATGATAATTATCACAGTCAATTATTTTATAATAATTACCACAGTCAATTATCTTATGATGTTATGCCAATTTTAGTTTAATTGAAAATAAAAACGGTGCTTTGATTACTGAAAAGGCTTGAAATTTGGAGTTAAGAGTAACTTGAAGGTAAACTGGTAAGGTTGAAATTTCTTAAATGCTTTAAAATGTGTTGAAAAATTTTTACCGATACGGTGTGCAATTGCAAGTGGCTTTGCAAGGATTTTCTGAATCATGATTAATTAAAGTACAATTTAGTACAATTTGTTAATTAAATTTAATTTAAGTTACGTGTATTTTTAACATAGTCTAGTCTTAGTTATTTTAAATCGCTCGGTTTTTAACTTAAATCAGCTTTCAGCTTCTTACTTCCATGTACGAAGTATTGTAATCGCGAAAATTTTGGAGTATCATATTTCAACGAAAATACCTATTTT